TTCCAGGCTCGGGAGGTGGCAGCAAGCTCCGGGCTGACTGGCAGCCCACGGGGCATGAAAGCTGTCGAGGTGTCGTTCCCTGCGGCCCCACACCTGCCTCCAGCTCCGGGTACCGTTCAGAGAGTAGCCGCCATGCCCTGGGGATTCCGCGGCCAGACAGGCCTTTCGGCTGGAACTCACTCAGCTGCCGGTGACCGTGCCCCATTCACGGAAAAAATCTAGGAAGTGCCAGGCAGGAGGCACTGGAGGCATCAGGTCCTACAGCAAGTGGTCTGCGACCCACAGTGGAGTTTGAGGCCAAACTGGAGTGGAGATTCACGGGGTGATGTCCAATTCCTTCTAGAAGCCTCTCTGCGTCTTTGAATAGGCCTCTGAAGATGGTGTATGCTCACCTGTCTCTTGGTGCAGCATGTAACCTAGAGTTCCCGGAGTCTGGGTTTGGAGGTAGAGAGAAGTTGAAAATGTGGAGAAAAGAAACAGGAGATCGCATTGTCCCACTGTCTTGCTGACTGGCCACAGTTTTTCAAATGAGGACTCCAATCACCATCCCAGGAAGAGTTGTTAGAGAAAAGCCAGGCAGGTATTTTTTTTTTTTTAATTGGAAGGGTAATACATTCTGATTGCAGGACATTTGGATACAAAGCATAAATCAAAAAGTGAAGGTGACCCTCAATCCCCATCCAGAGTAGGCTTGTGGCTGATGGCAAAGTTCCAGGGGAACCCCAGGGCATCCCACCGGGGTCTGAAAACCAACAGGCAGGAGGAGGCCACAGCAGGGAGGCCCTGGGTCTGGGGTCTGCCTGTGGCCCTGCCTTTACAGGACAAGGTCACCTATCTTTAAAGTCACTGCAGCTGGCCATCTCAGGAGGTGGCTGGAGTCCCGGTGAGGTCTTGCTATTCCATCTTGAAATGCTGCTCTCAGGGCAGGTGTTTCTGTCATCGGTGTCTTTGAGGTGTCAGTTCCTGGGTTAATGCTGAAACTGTTTGGTAAATGCTACCCTGAGGACCAGCCACTCTGAGGACCACCTACTTCCCCTTCTCGCCCCACATTGGGCCTGTGTCCTATTTACCCAGCTCTCACATGGGGTGTAGCACACCTCTGCTCTCTGGGTAGCTGTGGACTTAATGCCAAAGACAAGCAGTGGAGTTTCAGAATTTTCCTGCTTCTTTCTATTCAAACTGAGTGCCTGCTCCTCATCACGGGAAGCATCTCACCCCACCTCCCAACCCCGCTCCCCAACTCTCAGAAGTAGCCATCCACTCTTTGTTCTCCTCTCATTTCATTCAACTGAGGGGAAGCAGGCCACTGCCCTTCCCCACCCCAGAATACAGCAGATATGTGTAACTGGAAGAACATGGGACCAAAGAGATGGAATTCACAGACATCATGGCATTTTGAGGAGAAGCCTTTCCAAACACACTCATTGGTCCCTGCCCGCGAGGTGCCTGGGCTGCCCCATCCTGCCATCAGTGCCCATGCTGCCCCACCTTCTCCCTAACATTCAGATGAAGCCGTCTGTGCACATTCTCTTGGACCCTCTGCATCTAACTCGTCGTCACTGGGTGGACAGGTCACGCCTGTTGATGTAGAATTCGGCATCTGGACCTCAACTCTGAAGTGTTCTGTCCTGAGACCTCCATTGTGCTTGGACTCAGGGCCCTTCCTCTGCTGAGTCAGCAGCAGCAAGACTTCCCTGAGCCAGCACTTCTGTTATTTTACACACTTGTCTGTCCGGAAAACTGTGTGGGGAAGATAATGGGGCCGAAGGTGCAGCTTGGCATTCCTGCTCTGCGATGTCGCTGGCCATGCTGATTACATGCTATCTTCTTCTGTGGTCCAAAGCTGTGACTGTGTCATGAAACAGGTGACAATCCAATGGAAGGTAGAGATGGAATGGAAGGCAGGGGGGAGATAAACACAAATTATATTTTATATTTTTGCAGTTTCTACTGGGAGAAAAAAGTTTTCAATATCTAGACTGATTTGTTGAATGTTACAAATGGTTGACTATAATGTAACTGTTTGTAGTTTTCTTGGTGCCTTTACAAAGAGCTTTCAAATGTATTTCTGATACTGTGGTTTCATTACATTTGCAATATTGATGTCCAATAAATCACAGTAATATGGGTTTAGCATAACTGGAAACATCTACTTGATTTTTCAAAGGAAGTTCTTTTATTTCCTTTAAAGTGTGTGTTGGTAGATGCACATTCTGAGACCGTCCTTCCCGGAGGAGAGCAGGCCGGCCAGACCCCATTGGCTGGGCCACACTCTCTGCAGTGGCCGCCTGTCCTCCCTTGTGCCCTGTCCCCCATCCCTGTCTTGCTCATGTTCTTCACGCTCACCTGTGTTGAGACCTGGGATGGAAGTCACTCACTTTCACTCTGTCACGTGACTACCCTGATCCTGTGGGGATGGGTGGGTGTGGGGGTTAATTCCAGACTCTCCAGTGTGCTTCTTGGGACTGAAGTAACTGCTTTGGGGGTTGATCTTTCCCCTGGTCCACTCTTGCACTAATGCACCATTTGAGCATCCTGGCCTCATGGAGGAGTCTCCAGGTCCACCTGCTGGCCCTGTGTGGGTGTGAAAGCCCCACCCTGGGCATCAGGACCACTCCCTCTCCCCTCCCTCTTTGCTTCGTCACCCTGGTTATTTCTTATGCTTGGTTGTGAAGTCTGTGCATTTAAAAGATACATATAAAATTTATTGATTTTTGTTAATCTTCACCTGAGGATATTTCCTCCCTCCCCCCATTGATTTTTAGAGAGTGGGAAGGAGGGAGTGGGGGGGAGAGAAACATCACTGTGAGAGAGACATTGATCAATTGCCTCTTGCACATGCCCCAACCCCAGCTGGATTGGGATTGCAACCCAGGTACATGCCCTTGATCAGGAATCAAACCTAAACTTTTTGGTCCACAGGCCGATGCTCTAACCAACAAGGCAAAGGGTGATTGCTGTTTTTATTCAGTGCTTTTATAGGGGTATTTCAGTTATTTAATTTTCCAAAAAAACAGGAGTCAAAAATATTTTTAATTAATGTTTTGTTCTTTTAGTTTTTAAGAATAAAAAAAAAAATAGCCATTTAACAAAGCACCCTCCCTCCTTTTTTTTAAATGACAGGGATTTATTCTTTCAGAGTTCTCGAGGCCAGATAAAACATCCCATTTTTAACCATCCTGGTGAACTGGAGAAATAGGGAGCCCTACATCCAAACACAGATAGCATGAGTCTCCATTTCCCATTATTGTTCAATGTTGCTATGTTTTAAAGTGTCAGTCCTGAAAGCTTTGACCATTTTGGCACATTTTTCTTCATTAGTTTAAAAATGTTTTACAATTATAACTTCAAATGTAATTTTAATTTTTTGTTTACATTCTTCACTGCTCAACTTAGTGTTATATCTTCACAATTACTAGGTACAGATGAAATAATAATAAAGGGATCAGCCATCAGAATAATGAGGTACTGCCCCTCCTCAGCTGTGGCCTGTGTTGCCCTGGCAATGGTGGGGAGCTCACACATCTCCATCTTCCTGTCTCCCTGCCCCCCCCCACTGTGCCCCTAAGTGTGTGCCCATGTGTCTGTGGGCTCGTGTGAGTGTGCACATGTGTGCTTCCATGTGTGTGCAGGCGCCCATCTCCTGTGCTGCTGCCCTCACCCATCCTCCCCTCCAGACCCAATTCCTGCCTGTTCAGGACTCTATTTGTACCATCTCGGCTGACTTCAGAAGGTGCCCAGGGGTAGTCTAGTAGTTCGTAACAGTGGAAGGTTTCCTGGAGTTAAGGCAAATAGCACTTCTCATCACAACAGACAAGCCCTGAAACCTTAGTACACTAGCGACCCAGTGCATGGATCCATGCATATTGAAAGGAAATTAATTAGAAGGTGGCCAGCGGGGCGGGACTGGACACACCCTGGAACCAACCTCCCATGGTCCTTCCCTGGCAAGCCGCATCCCTCTGGCAGGTGAGGTCCCTCTGCCTGGCCTAGGGGATCAGAATGAAACTGGCTCTCCAACATTCCCTGAGAGGTCCCGGAGTGCAAGAGGGCACTCTGCAAAGTTGCCATCATACAGGGTGCGGAATGCAAACGCAAGTGTGCAGTAAACAGGATTTGGAGCTGACAGTGCCCCAGCAACAACATAACCCACGGCCAAAGGTAGAATCGTGCGGCCCAGAAAGGGATTGGACTCCCTCCATTCCTGCGTTGAGCATCTGACCCCTGGTAATCAGTGCGCATCATAGTGACTAGTTGGTCAGACACTTAGCATATTAGCCATATATATATATTACTTGGGAGTAATACATAGACCATCCTCCTCCAGCTTCCTTTCCAGCTCACCTCCTGCACTACCACCCCCAGCTTCAGCCCCAGCCAGCTCAGCTAGTATCTCAAATTGTTCCATTTTGTGACCACCAGTCCCAGATGGGCTGCTCCCACATGGACTTCTGATCTATTTGTGCTCCCTGACGGGCTTAGTGTTACGTTGCGGAAGGAGGAACTCAGGAGGCCATCATGGTGAGGGACTATGAATTTATTCGATCATCTCCACACCAGATGGTGAGCCTGGATGGCTCCAGCCAGAAAAAGAGAGAGAGAGAGGGAGAGAGAGAGAGAGCGCGCTTATTTACTGGACATGAGAGAGAGAGAGAGAGAAAGAGAGAGAGAGCGAGAGAGAGAGAGAGAGAGAGAGAGAGAGAGAGAGAGAGAGAGAGAGAGAGAGAGAGAGAGAGAGAGAGCGAGCGCTTATTTACTGAACATCCGCCCCTTGTGCCGGGCAGAAGACAGGTGTAGCAGCTACACAGGGAGACTCCATGGGAGGTGGGGCCTGGCTGTCCCGCCCCCGGAAGTCAGCAAGGGCTACCGAGGACGTGCGGGAGACAGAGCGGGTGAAGGGGAGTCCTGAGGATGCGGTCCGGGGGAAGGGGCGGCCGGTGCATAGACAGGGAGACGGTCCAAGGGAGCATTCCGATTAGGTCCCGGCTGCTACCGTGGGAGGGCAGAGGCCACCAGCCCAGTTTTTCCGGTCAAAATACCGGAAGCGGAAGTGGCCGCGGGTTGTTCAGTTCCGGTCGGGCGGCGGACAGAGGCTGCACAGACGGTGAGGGAGTTGCGGGCGGGGACAGGGGCGGTGGCGGACTCCTGGGCGGTGGTCGCCGGTCCAGGGCGGTGGTCACCTGTCTCCCTCCGTCGTTGTCCCTCCCCAGGCGCGGGCGGGCGGGCGGGGCGCGGCCCTGGAGGCGGATGGTGCAGCCCGAGCAGCTGCCGCCGCCGCCTCGTTGCCCTAAGTAGTTTCGGGCCACAGTCAGTCATCGCCTCCTCGTGCGAGGCCGCGGGGTCACCCCTCGCCTGGGATTCCCGCCGGAGGAGGTGACTGTCGAGTTCCGAGGGCGCCCGGCTGGCCCCAGGAACGGCGGTGGGAGCCGCAGTGGCCGACAGCCGGAGGCGCGGACTGACGTTTTGCGCACCTGCGACCGCTGGAGGCCCCTCCTTGCCCGACTTACTGCCCCTTAGTGAGAATCGGACAGGTGTTAATGTCGCTAGAAGTGCTGAAACATGTCAAAGCGGAACAAGAAACAAAAGCAAATGGCAGGATTATGTACGCAGGTGGAAGTAACTTGGAAATGCAAAGGAAAAACGGAGAACCCTGATACAAGCGCCTGCCTGTGGATGACGGGTGTAGGCGGGTTGCCTGTTCAGATTTTCTGCATTGGTGTCCATAACTTCATAATCAGAAAAATAAAAAGGAAAGACTGTGGTTGCGATATAGTTCTATTTTGAAAGTGAAATGAGAAAGCACATCGTGTACAAACGGAGGAATTATGTAACACTCAGCCCTTAGGATATCCTCGTGCATTTCAGTGTTTTTGTGAAAGTATATGGGGATGGGGAAATGGACATTTTTAAGGAAAGGGTGGGATTTATTCATATTTTTGAGACATTGTGGACAGAAAACATTCATGGAAATGGAAGTCAAATGAAGTTAAGGGGAATGGATTCTTGTCTTATCCTCATTTGCCATTCTCACCAATCTCCCTTTTGGCTCCAGGACCAGGATGTCGGTAGAGCTGGGTTGAAGGCAGGCTTGCTTAGTTTCAGAGCATTTGTTCTGTACAGTGCACCAGAGCCTTGTGCCCTTGACTGTTGTTTACTAGGCTCTGTTAAATAGTAGGAAGCAGAAATCTGGATGCTATAGACAGTAGTGATTTTTAAGGGGAATCATAGGATGTGTGCTGGGACTTCCGCTGGGTGGTGAGGTGTGCTGTCCCTGTGCCTCCATGTCCTCACTAAGACATTCTGGCGCAGCTGCCCCATTGGCATGGCCAAGGGGTGGGGTGAACATTCTGGAAATAAGGAATTGGTCCTGTCTGGGTAAGAGAAATGCCTCGGAGACTGACATCTCATATGCTGAGTGGCCTGGGGTCCACATAGAAATATTGTCCATATCTCATACCTGTGAATGCCTCTGCTCACCTTCAAGGCAGAACTTTCTCCATATTTGAGTTCTGAAGGTTTGTGCTTCTTATTAAGGAGTTGATAATCCCAGTTCAGTGTTCTTCATGCTTACTGGATTAATCAAATGCTCTTCTTACAGCTCCATTATGTAACAACTGCCTATCGGGGGAGGAGGGCTGTACCTAACGTTTCTACCCATCTAACCCTCTTGTTCCTTCTCCCCCCATGCACACAGGGTACATAACTCTAGTATGACAGGTTTGGAGATCCCACCTGCTTTTTAACCATGAAGGAGACAGACCGGGAGGCTGTTGCAACAGCGGTCCAAAGGGTTGCTGGGATGCTTCAGCGCCCGGACCAGCTGGACAAAGTGGAGCAGTATCGCAGAAGGGAAGCCCGGAAAAAGGCCTCCGTGGAGGCCAGATTGAAGGTACGAGGCCAGAGAGGCCACAGGCACCTGCTGCACCCGGACAGGACACCATTATTTAACCCGAGTTTTAGGTTCTTGCTTAGCTTCATTATTGTAATGTTCCTAAGTTAGACTTAGTGATGATCTAGGAAGAGACAGTGTGGAACATCACCTTTACTTAGCATGTTCTTTCCAACAGTATATTACCAATCAATAGATTTATAAAGAGGATTGTGGGAATAGTTATGCAATCTGAAGAGAAATCAGAGCCTGGCTGGTGCGGCTCAGTGGTTGAGCATTGACCTATGATCCAAGAGGTCACGGTTTGATTCCTTTCGGGATGCATGCCCGGGTTACGGGTTCAATCCCCAGACTGGGTGGCAGTCGATCAGTGATTCTTGTCATTGATGTTTCTGTATCTCTCTCCCTTCTGTTCTGAAATCAATAAAAATATATATATATTTTTAAAAGATTTTGGGAACATTGAAAACACCAGTGTAACAACTTTTAATAGTTATTCTTTTTTTCTAAACAGCTCTTGTACAGAGTGCTTCGTGAGAATATTTTATTTAGGTAATTTAAGCACATGATGTTTAGCAGGCTCACTGTGTGCCAGGTATCTGCTGGCCCTAGGGTAGAAGGGAGGAAGAGAGTTAGACACATTAAGAGTGTGTAGGAGTGGGGCAAGACTGAAAATCATTACTTTCAAGATATTTTATGATTTGGATTGGCTTTTACCTTAATTCATATGCACACTCAGTATAGTTATAAAAATGTTAAGATCCTGGGCTGCTATGGTTGACAGGCAGAAGAATGGTCTTGAGAATTTTTCTTTGATGCAAGTTAATTCTCACACTGATATGGCAAGGAAGTCAGCTCTCCACTAGAAAACACTAGCATCCAGGTAAGGTAATGGCAGTCTTGATGAGACAGGATAAGGCCATTCGTTTGTACCCAGGGGATTCCCAAAACCCATGGATGGATTTGAAACAGCAGTTTCATGTTAATTTTAAAATGAATGTGGACATGCTGCATTTTTAGTCAGAATTTTAATCTGTTCTGGAAACTGTGGGATTAAGAATTATCAATAGTGATTTAGAAACCTTATCTGGTCTGTTACAATCATTGTTAATTATTCCTAAATGCAACTTAAGACACCTGGGTTAAAGGTGTTCCTGGCCTCTTTTGTGCTGCCTGCTCTTTCCCTTCCTGTCCACCTGTGCTGCTGTGTTATGCCCTCTCCCTTCCGACTGTACAATTCACTAGGTGACATTCCTTTGGGCCCGAAGAGTGAGTTCAAATTTTATGTGCACCAGTTCTGTGTAGTGGGGCTGACTGTCCTTGAGCAGAGACTGGTTGGGGCTGAATGGCAGGAGACCTCTCATTCCTAAAGCTGATGAGCAAATCCTGACAGTTTTCTGTACCTAGATAAGGCCTGTTAGGAAACAGAGGCACCTGAGAGATCATGGAAGGGGTCCTTCTAAAGCAGGGGTGGGGAACCTTTTTCTGCTAAGGGCCATTTGGATATTTATAACATCATCCACAGGCCATACAAAATTATCAACTTAAAAATTAGCCTGCTATATTTGGTCAAACATTTAATAATTCACTTCTAATGCCTTGGCAGGGACAGACCAAATGATTTTTTGGGCCTCATATGGCTGGTGGGTTGGATGTTCCTCACCCCTGTTCTAAAGATACCATTTAAGGGGTGGCCATAAGAGCTAAGGCGCACCCACAGTGGTGTCCATTCTCTTTAGGCAGAGTGGCTGGATTAGGAGTGTTGTGAGGTTTTCTCAAAAAGCTTTAAAAGGCGTTATTTTGTTCCAAGGTAGCAATAAAGAAAGAAGTTCACTTGGGAATCAATTAGATACTCGTTGAGTTTTATTCTCTTTTCTCTCTGTGTTGACTGTTCCCTGCTATGGAAATGGCATTTCCTCACTTGAACCTCCTGGGAAGATTTGTTGTATCTGCCCAGCACTGCTCACTACTCACTGTCTCCTTCAGGCAGCCATCCAGTCTCAGTTAGATGGAGTGCGCACAGGCCTGAGCCAGCTCCACAATGCACTGAACGACGTGAAGGACATCCAGCGGTCCCTGGCCGATGTCAGTAAGGACTGGAGACAGGGCATCAACACCATCGAGAGCCTCAAGGACGTGAAGGATGCTGTGGTGCGGCACAGCCAGCTCGCTGCTGCTGTGGAGAACCTCAAGAACATTTTCTCAGGTAGCTAAGCTGACAGTGGGGCCAGTGGGCACCTCGGGCATCACAGGGCAGAGTGCTACCAGTGCTCATGCTCGTGGCTCTTGCTTGGTTTCCCTTGCTCTGTGGGTAATGCAAAGGCATTCCAGCCTTTGTGCAGTGCTTTGTAGACCTGTCTCAGAGTTAGCAGTAGGTGTGATTCCAGCTTGCACAGTTAGCTTATTGTTTTGAACATGCATGGAAATGACCAACTGAGCAAGTAAGAGCTAGTAGTTCTGTGCTTGTCAGGACAGAGGCACAGAAGTGGGTAACTGAACTAGTTCTGTGTGAGCTACGTTCCTTCAAGGTGGTTAGATCAGTAGACCAGCTGGGATTTTTCTGGGTGCCGAAGAATACAGATGAACCACCCCTTGAAAGGAGCTCGTGGACTGTGAGAGAAGCAGCTCTGTGAACAGGACAGAGGGAGAGGTGACTAAGGAGAGCAGCAGTTCCCAGGAGCAGGAAGATTATATACAGGCTAGGGGCCTTGAGGGCTTGGGTAGGGCATGCTCTGGAGTCTCAGTCTTAGTTGGAACCAGATTTGGTGGAGGCTGTGGGGCTGGTGTGGGGGCAGGAAGGTGCGGGAATGACCCTTTCAGAGTAATCTTCCCAACACTTCCTTAGTGATAGGAAGAGTGTTCCATGGACTATTCAGGATAGTGTTAGCTGTCACCTGGGTGGGCTCCCTTTGGGTTCAGCACAGCTCCTCATATGGTGCTGTGACGGGAGCTCCTTGTGTGCTTTCCCCAGAGCCTGTCCCTCCACTTGTCCCTTTGCCTCTGTCAGATTCATCAGCATTCCAGCAAGAATTCTGGGATAGTCTGACCACTTCCCTACCTTTATCTCCTGTTTGGTCTCTGGAAGTTCTATCTGTGTTTCCCCAAACTGCTCAACCTCTTGTGTATCCTAGAACAGTTCTTTTCACTTGCCCACTGTTGTGAATCCGAAGCACAGGAGGCCTTGTTTCTGCCACAGTGTACATGTGTCCTGTTTTCATGCCTGTGTCTGAGGGCAGCACTGTTGAATACTTGGTCCCATTGCTCTATGTGTAGTCATCTTGTGTCTTTTTCCCTAGTGCCAGAGATTGTGAGAGAAACCCAAGACCTCATAGAGCAAGGGGCTCTCCTGCAGGCCCACCGGAAGTTGATGGACCTGGAGTGCTCCCGAGATGGGCTGATGTATGAGCAGTACCGTATGGACAGTGGGAATACTCGTGACATGTCCCTCATCCACAGCTACTTTGGGAGCACACAGGGGCTCTCTGACGAACTGGCGAAGCAACTGTGGATGGTGCTACAGAGGTCACTGGTCACCGTCCGCCGTGACCCCACCTTACTGGTGTCAGTTGTCAGGATCATTGAAAGGGAAGAAAAGATTGACAGGCGCATACTTGACCGAAAAAAGCAAACTAGCTTTGTTCCTCCAGGAAGGCCCAAGAATTGGAAGGAGAATATGTTTAAAATCTTGGATAAAACTGTAATTACCAGAATCGAGGGCACACAGGCTGACACCAGGGAGTCCGACAAGATGTGGCTCGTTCGCCACCTAGAAATCATAAGGAAGTACGTCCTAGATGACCTCATCGTTGCAAAAAACCTGATGGTTCAGTGTTTTCCTCCCCATTATGAGATTTTCAAGAATCTCTTGAGCATGTACCACCAGGCCCTGACAATACGGATGCAGGAGCTTGCATCAGAAGACCTAGAAGCAAATGAGATTGTGAGCCTGTTGACTTGGGTTTTAAACACCTACACGAGGTAACACTGACTTTACATCTTGTGTTTTATTTTACAAAAACATACTGATTGGCTCTAAATAGCTACTGTTGTTTTGCTCCTCTCAGGTGCTTGGCACCCACAGGTATTAGTTTCTGGTTGATGACAGTCTTCCTAGTCCATCTGTGGGGCTTGCCCTTGAGGTCGGGCCCAGCCGCTGGTTGTGTGAATCTTCATATGTTTGGGTGGTGCCTCTGCCTTTGACATCCAGTCCATATTGAGCAGTTCACCTTGGACTTTCCTGTGGTACTAAGTGTTCACTGTGTACTAACCTACCTGCTTTCTCCAGGAGGTGACACTGGGCAGGTGGTTTCACCTCAATTAACAGGTGAGAAGATACTTGGGCCCAAAAGTTCCTTCAGAGTCACGTGGTTGGTGAGCACACACCAACTCACTCTTTTCCTAGGTTTGGTTTCTTCTTCTCACCATTAGTGTTGGGAAAATCACTTATCCTTTTCCATTTCAGCCTGGGGGCTTTGTTACTTCACAAAAGTGACATGTGCCATTTCTTTCATGTATTAGCTTAAGGTAGGGTTTGGAAAATGAGGCAATGGTGGGGTATTCTGAATTGCTTGAAGATTAACTAGCTGAGAGGAAAACACATTAAATCTTGCATGGTTTTGTGAATAGAAAACGGTATTAAGTACTGTATTGGAATCGTTTTTGTAGTCTTGTTGCTATTGTGTAGAAATTAATTAAATCTTTTTTTTTAGCAATAAGGTGTTGGGATTTTTTTGTATATGTAATGGCTTACAGTAGAAAATGCGTACATTTCAACGCAGAAAAACATAGAGAGGAAATATCTTTTTAATGATGATTCTTGCGGCTGCAGCTTTTGTTGTCTTCTGTGTGCTGCCCTCACACAGCCCGGGAATCCACAGCTGCCATGATTGCCCCATCTGTCAGTCGTCTCCATGCAGCCTTGGCCTCCACATGTTAACCGTGAGGAAGGCACTGTGATGATTTTCTTCCTTTTGTATATGAGCACAGGGAGTAACGTGCCCACTTCCTATGGCCAGCAAGTAAGTGGGGAGCAGGATTCAAATCTGGATCTAGGCCCTCACTCCAGCCACCTGACTGTGGAGTGTGTGTTTGTGTGACACGCCCAGTTTTGTGTGTTCATTTTGTTTTTCACTCACTACATGGTAAGCACTTTTCTGTTCTTGGGAACTCTTGGGCAACTTCCTATTGTCATCCCATTCTGTCATATTGGACTTTTCCTGGGAAGAGTTGAACTGCTTTCATAATGCAAACATTTTCATGCTGAATTAAGGTTCTTGGGATGAAAGTCATGTGGGTTAAATAGACAGTCTTTTGACATTGGCATACTCTTATAAAGATTATAAGATTGACTTGGATTTCTGATAAAGAGTGGACTAGTGTCATTTAAACACACATTTAGTAAATGTAGCATAAGGCCCAGGAATTTTCTGAGCAGTTGAACCTTGGATTTTTAAGAACCCAACCACATGCACAGGTATTAACGTTTTTAGGAAAACTTTTTTTCTGAAACTTAGTCCATATCCCTGCCTTCTTAAGCACGGTAGACTGGATTCGGTGACGATGTTCTTGCTGACTTGAGTTTCACTGTGGATGTTATGTGTTCTCTGCATTAGAGATTGTTCCCCTGTTTCATAGACATGTCTTTTCGGCACCCCCTATTTGTCCTGGTCTTCCATGGGAGGTGCCATGGATGGAACAAACTTTTTTTGCCCTCATGGGGCTTCTTCCCTAAGTTGGGCCTCCAGTTCCCTGTGGTGTGGGCACAGGGGCTCCTTGGCCAGCGCTCTTCCCGCCTACCCTCTTGACTGCCTTAAGGGTGGTTGGGTATTTGTGTGTGAAAAGAAATAGCAACACTTACCTGAGACTTTCTGTCTTTCTGCTTCTTAATCTTTCTCATTCCTGGGTTTTTCTGTAGCACAGAGATGATGGGAAATGTGGAGCTGGCCCCGGAAGTGGATGTCGGCACCCTGGAGCCTTTGCTTTCTCCAAATGTGGTCTCTGAGCTACTGGACACGTACATGTCAACTCTCACTGTGAGTAGAGCACTGTGTTGTCCCGGAACAATTTGTGCCTAGTGCCCCACACGTTGCATTGGGTCTCTTGAGTATCATGGACTGACTCCAATGAGCAAAAGCAGGGAGTAAGGCCCTGTCTTGACATTGGCTCTGTTTCTGGGAAATCGAGTCTTGAAACGTTTGCCAGTTAGAGGAGGAGAGTGGCCCACTCTCTGGCCTGGGATATGAAGGTTGGGGGTATACATTCCACAGGTATGGAAATTGTCTGTTTGGAGGGCTGGGCCTGGTAGGCTCGCGAAACCCCAGGATGTCCTGTTAATGTGTGGTGGCACCTGCCAGCCTCTTACCATTGAGCCTGGGAGTGAGAAGGTGGCAGTTAGGGCACCAAATAGTGCCTGGTTACCCCCAGACAGTCTCAGTAAGATAAGGTCTGGGTCTGCTTCTTGGGATGGTGCACCTGCTCACCAGACAGTATTCTGACATGTGGAGGGCTCTGTGCGCAGGAGGTAACAGTGCTGGTGTCTGGTCTTCCACAGACAGGTCTGCCTCCATCTTCCATGTGTGTGCAAGCCCAGCCTGTCCTCAAAGGTTAAGTTGGTGGAGGTGGTGGGGACACCACCACTGTGGAGCTAGCTCTTGGGACGGCTTTTCTGTCATTCCCTTGTTTGGGAACAGGAATTCCCAGGGTACTGTGTTTGGCTTTGGCAGCTGCCCTACTTTATCCTTAGCTCAGAGGGCCTGTTCTTTTCTCCCTTCCTCCGATGCTCAACTTCCTTAGTCAAACATCATTGCTTGGTTGCGGAAAGCTCTAGAAACAGACAAGAAAGACTGGATAAAAGAGACTGAGCCTGAAGCTGACCAAGATGGGTACTACCAGACAACACTCCCGGCCATCGTCTTCCAGGTACCATCTGCAAATTCTGAGTTCATTTCTGGTTAATACGGTCTGCGATTTTACAAATGAACACAAGGTTCATCATTTCATAGTGAAGATAGAAAGAGCCTCCCTAGTTCCATAGGTCCTCCTCTTTCGGGAGTTGAAGAAACGGAGGGTTATATCTGCCAAGTAGTTCTGCCCAGGGTCATTTTAGTTTTCCTAACCCTTTTTTTACTTGAACTAGAAGTGTTATTTATGTGTAATGCTCAGATTTGAGTTTGCTTTTGTGGAGTTTCCTGATTGTAAATGGCCAAGATATATCTTCACAAATGCCACAAAATTGAGTCTATGGACTTGGGGAAGAGTCCTTTAGATTTTAATGATAATCATGCATTCTTACAGTGAGTTTACATATATATATATATATAATTTTATTGATTTTTCACAGAGAGGAAGGGAGAGGTAAAGAGAGCTAGAAACGTTGATGAGAGAGAAACATCGACCAGCTGCCTCCTTCACACCCCCCACTGGGGATGTGCCCGCAACCAATGTACATGCTTTTGACTGGAATAGAACCTGGGACCTTTCGGTCCGCAGACCGACGCTCTATCCACTGAGCCAAACCGGTTTTGGCAGTGAGTTTACTTTTTAATGCCCTGTCGCCTGCTAGTATCCCCCAGTATCCTCTTTTTATTTGGCCCATGCTGACAGTAGGAGGGCTGAGTCTTATTGGAATATTCGTTTGGCACACTGTCTGCTGAAGAGCTGGGACTCTAGTCAGCAGAAGTGTTGGTGGTGTTTTTATCCAGGTGATACCATTACTTAGTCACTGATCAGTCCTCACCTTCTCTTTAATTTGGAAAGTTTGACATGATAGCCCATTTACGACAAGGACCTGGGGTGAGCTCTGCCTGCTGGCCCTTCTGTTTTTCCAAGTCTGGTTCCCCTCAGCTCCAATATATGTCCTAATTCTTCTTAAGAAATACACATCACTAATTACAGTGCAGCCCCTGACACCCATATCATTGTGTCTCTGAGCTCTCCATCTCCCTGTCAGCTTCCCAATTCATTTGCAGGTAGTTAGGAAATGGTTCACTTGTTTTTTTGTTGTTGTTGTTGTTATTGTTTTTTTTAAATATATTTTATTGATTTTTTACAGAGAGGAAGGAAGAGGGATAGAGAGTCAGAAACATCAATGTGAGAATCATCGATCAGCTGCCTCTTGCATACCCACTACTGGGGATGTACCCGCAACCACGGTACATGCCCTTGACCAGAATCGAACCTGGAACCTTTCAGTCCACAGGCTGACGCTCTATCCATTGAACCAAGCCAGTGTCGGCAGTTTACTTGTTTTTTGTTTTTGTTTTTGTACCCAGTGAGAAAGTTGGTTGTTTAACTAACTTTATTTTTCGCATGTTTTCATTTTTTTCTCTCTGAATTTGGATTGTCCTAACTACCAGTTAGCAGATGGGGGTTTTATATAACAGGAAACCTGCGCTGTTGTGAGTTTATGTCAAAATTCATACATTCTCCAATTTTTAGATGTTTGAACAGAATCTTCAAGTTGCTGCTCAGATAAGTGAAGATTTGAAAACAAAGGTACTAGTTTTGTGTCTTCAGCAAATGAATTCTTTCTTAAGTAGGTATGTATTTTTGCCAGTGTACTAATTTAGAAAGTTTATGTTTTTAAAAATTAAAAGCAAAAATGTGTCGATCTTGATGTGCCTGATATTAAAAAAGAGCTTAAGCCTGGGTTGACTATAGTCACCTTCTTTTGTTATTTAAAAAGGCAGCTTTTTCTTGCTACTCCTATTGAAGGTATTTTACCAGTCCCCTGAGAGCCAGATCTGATCTGTGACATCCCCAGCAATGTAGTCAATATACTGCAGGGCTGGAGTTAGAGCTTTTCCTGAGACACGTATCCTTCCCCTAGTCTGACTTTCTGAGGTGAGGAGGACAGCTCCAGGTACAGTGGTCACTCTGAATACCCACCACTGAGAGGCACCCCCAGTAGAGCTAGCCCTGGACAGGGTGCTCAGAGGGACTGTCTCCAGGACACCTCCCTCCCTTTGAATTGTTCATGAAGAAGGTCTTTCAAACCTGTGCACAAGTAGAAAGAATGACATAAATAACTGTTTACCCATTCAGGTTCAAAAGCTATCCCTTTAAAGCCATGCCTTGCCTCATCTGGTCTCTCAATCCCTTCCCCTTTTCCTCTTTCTCTGCTGAAATAACTTTAAAGAAAATCCCAGACATTGTATTATTTCCCCTGCACTCTCTATTTCCCCTAACTACAGTGCTGTCAACCCATATAAAACTTGCACAATTATTCCATGGGATCATCAGATACCAAGTTTGTACTTGGATTTTCCCAGTGGTTGCAGACAAATTATCTCTTTATAGTTATGTATTCTAGATCATGTGTGGTTTTTTGGGTTCTCAGCTCTCTGGTACAGGAGAACATTCCCTTCCCCACTTTAAGCCGTTGACTTAGGGAGATGTGCACATCGTCCTGTAGAGCAGCGACCACCAACCAGTGTTCTGTGGACCACTAGTGGTTCGTGAGGTCCAAAAGGTTGGCGACCGCTCCAGCCTGGGTCGCAGATTGCCGTCTTCCCACAAACCACAGGTTGTCTCTAAAGACTTGTAGGATTCCCCTCTTTGCTTACTGTTCTGCAAGAACACTGCCTAGGTGGTGTGTATGCTCCGCATGGCAGCACATCAGGAGATGCGTGTCCCTCCATCCTTCCGGTGGCTCAGTGCTAGCAGCTAGGCCCCTCGGAGTCCCCATGAGCCATCCATCTGGGGAACATGGCCTCAGGTAGTCATTTTGTTAGAGGGATGAGATAGAATTCTTCTGTAAAGAGCAAGTTTTCTTTATCTGCCCCAGCGGTTTGATTACCTGAACCACACTTTGGAAAGAAAGGTAGAATAAATACTGAATAATTTCTCTTTAATTGCCAATGTTCAGTTTGGCCCTTTCTTAAGATCTGTTCTACTCCTGTACATATTAGAGAATCTTCTAATAAATTAAAAAATAAAGCCTGTAGCCATCTCAGTTGTTTGCTTCTGTAATATCTAAAGAGTCTAATTTATATCTAACACATGACTGTGTTCCATTGTATAAGTTTCTAGGAAAATTATGTGAGATATGTAAGATAATACTTTCCCATTACCATCAGATACTAGGTGTACCGGTTAATAATGCGAATTTTTTTCAATAGATGGAATTACACATATGTTGATAAATATGTGATTTGATATGTATGCTATTTTGTTGTATTGACAACAAGCTTCAAAACTTCATATGTCAAATTTGCTGAAGGTGTTAACGTCATAGATATTTTTACGCTTAAAAATGTCAACCTTTGTGCCAAAAAAAGCATCTGCAGGAAGTTTTAATACATTATTTTGAAGAAAAGTGCTGCTGAAAGTTATATACTTCAGGAAGCTTATGGTGAACATGTTCCATCTCAAGATACTTGTGGACACTGGTTTAAACACTTTAAAATTGATGATTTCAATGTGAAAGACAAAAGAACGTCCAGGTCAACCAAAAAAGTTTGAAGACCAACAATTACAAATATTATTGGATGAAGATGCGTGTCAAACTCAAAAATAACTTGCAGAAAGATTAAACGTTGCTCAGGAAACAATTTCCAATCGTTTACAATCAATGGGAAAGATTTTAAAGGAAGGAAAATGTGTGCCACATCAATTGAACGAAAGACAAATGGAAAACCAAAAAGTCATCAGTAAAATGTTGCTTCAATGGCATGAAAGAAAGTCTTTTTTTGCATAGGATTCTGACTGGTGATGAAAAATGGATTTATTTTGAGAATCCCAAATGCACAAAATCATGGGTTGATCCAGGTCAACCATCAACATCAGCTGTAAGGCTAAATCACTTTGAAAGAAGACAATGCTCTGTGTTTGGTGGGATCAGGAGGGTGTGGTGTATTATGAGCTTCTAAAACCAGGTGAAACCATTAATACTGATCGCTACCCACAACAAATAATCAATTTGAACCACACTTTGACTATGAAATGACCAGAATGTTCCAGAAGACACAGCAAAGTAATTTTGCTTCATGATGACGCACTATGACACACTTCAAAACCAGTTAAAGACACATTAAAAGTTCTTGCCTGGAAAGTATTAATCCACCTGCTGTATTCACCAGACCTTGCTCCTTCAGATTACCACTTCTTCCGATCAATGACACATGCACTTTCTGAGCAGCACTTCAAAATGTACAAAGAAGTGGAAAATTTGGTCTCTGAATGGTTTGCCTCAAAACAAGGAAACTCCTATTGGAACAGAATCCACAAATAACGTGATGGGGAAATGTGTAGCTACTGATGGACATTCCTTTGAATAAAGCTCTTTTGATGTTTCTCTTAAAATTATTGTGTTTTCTTTGATTACAAAATCTGCATTATTAACCGGTACACCAAGTATTTCAGAATATTTATATAATTAGAACACTAAACCCTATTTCAAAGGGTTGACAAGAAGTTAAATTGTAATAATTTATTTTAAATGACCAACTTTTATGTTCTATTAGTATAGAGTGTCCCCCCAAATTTTTTTTAAAGATTCATCTGGTCTAGTGTTAGTGATGTGAAATATCTGTTTAGGTATGATGTCAGTGTGGCATTTGAAATACCTGCCAGTTATTCTCTGATGCTATTTGATGTGGGTTGTCTGTCCTCAGATACAAAGACGAAGCTCAGTTGTATAAAGAGGAGCACCTGAGAAACCGGCAGCACCCGCACTGCTATGTCCAGTACATGATCGCCATCATCAACAACTGCCAGACCTTCAAGTAAGTGGCCGTTGGGGTTGAAGACAGGCATGTGAGAATACTCAGCTACCTCACTGAGCCTCAGCTGTTCCCTTGCAGAGAATCCATAGTCAGTTTAAAGAGGAAGTATTTAAAAAATGAAGTGGAAGATGGCATGTCTCTGGGCCAGCCAAGCATGGATGGGATTCTGGATGCCATCGCAAAGGAGGGCTGCAGCAGCTTGCTGGAGGAGGTCTTCCTGGACCTGGAGGTAGGGCACTCTGCCATGCATTCGAGCTGAATGTGCACCTGCCTTCATCCTCAGTCACAGTTAAAGCGCCATGGCTTTTTTATGTGGTGTAGACACGAGTTTCGGTCCTTCTACTACACAACTGAATTGACACTCCCAATAAATATAAGTGGATTACAAACTAGAATCAAATATATCAGGCAGACTGTTATATTCATTAGCAGAGTCTTAATGTCAAACCAAACTGAGAACATGTGCATGGTGCATATGCATGTAACATAGACCAGTCTCAGTTTTGAATAAAGATAGAAAAAAAAATCATTGACAAAATGCATTTAACTTTATATCAAAGGCATAAATAACAGGTAAGGTTTATTTCAGAAATGCAAAGATGGTTCAACATTATATAGATGTATTAGCAGAAATCAGAATATATTTAAAATACAAAGCCATGATTATTTCAGGTCCCCTGGAAAGGAGCTTCTAGGATGTTTGGTGGGATAATTTCATGATGTCTGTAACTTTCTTGAAAATCATCCAGAAAACAAATGAAATGTATGAATTTGAAATTATTTCAAAGTATGAAAAAAGACAATATAATCCAAAAGTAGATAAAAGACATCAGTAACCATTTCACAGTAAAAGGGACACAAATATCCTAAATATCTATGAAACAAAACATTCAATCTTACTGATCTTCAAAGAAATGCAAATTTAAAAAGTATTATTTGTTGCTTATCAAAATGACAAGGATTGCAAACATTGATACCACTCAGTGTTGTTGAGGGCATGAGCAAAGGGACAGTCTTTTTGTTTTTTCATTTTTAATCCTCATGTAAGGATGTTTATTGATTTTAGAGAGCTAGAGCTAGAGCGAGAAAGAGAGAAGAGGGAGGGAGGGAGAAGGAAGGAGGGAGAGAGGGGAACATTGATGTGAGAGAAACATTGATCCATTGCCTCCCGTACACACCCCAATCAGGAATTGAACCCATAACCTTTATGGTATATGGGACAACACTCCCACCAACTGAGCCACCCAGCTGGGGCCAAGGGACAGTCTTGTGTTCTATGTAGAATATGAATTGTGCAGCTTTTGGAGGACAGTTTGAAAACAGCTAATTAAGATTTTAGTTTCTATACTTTTTGAGCAATTCCACTTTTAGGAGTATTACCTGCAGAGTGTACGAATTCACTGCAGCATTATTCAGTTGCAAAATGTGAAAAACTTTAAATGTCCATGAGGATTGGGTAAATAGAGTATTCATATAATAGATACAAGGTGGGGCAAAAGTAGATTTACTGTTGTTTGCATGGAAAATAATATAATAATAAAGAATAAACTTTCATATACTCACAACTGTAAACCTACTTTTGCCAAACCCTGTATATGTAGTCATCGGTGGTGAAATGTTTACACACAGATACTTGCATATCTCACAAGTGTGTCATCTGAGTCCTCTGTGGTTAAAGTACATACTTGCAGGTCACCCACCAGTAGTGCTTGTGACAACAGCACATCAAGCAGATGTGCACAACTTGGGGACAGTGTCAAGGTGATACTTTCTCTGGGTTGTGCTTTTTAGCAACATCTCAATGAGCTGATGACAAGAAAGTGGCTCTTGGGATCGAACGCTGTAGACATCATCTGTGTCACCGTGGAAGACTATTTCAATGATTTTGCCAAAATTAAAAAGCCGTATAAAAAGGTAAGAGTGTGGGGGCACATTCACATGGTGTGAATTCACCTGCATGCTAGAGCCCAAAAGGCATTTTGTGTAGCGTATTCATATAATAGATACAAAGTGTCAAATTAGTTATGTGAATGGAAGTTCCTAGGTGGTTTTATTAACCTAAGGCAGGTAGGAAACATTAGTGTCTAAAGATAAGAGGGAGGTAGCGATGATGAGGCCTCTGAGTGAAGGTTTAGACCATTCATCTGACAGCTATCTCCTGACACCCCACTAAACTCATACTGACACACAGCCTAAGACCTGGACCCTGAGTGGGGGTACTGGCTGTGGCTCTGATGAGAGGATGAGCAGAAAGGCAGTCCCCTGTCCAGATCCCCGTCATGGCACACTGGCTGCTGGCCCTTTTCCCCTCCACAGAGGCCCTGTGAGAACAGGGTGCTCCTGTGTTCCTCGTTATCTGAGGTCTTAACCATATATGCATCATGCCCTCAAACAGGGCTTGGTCATCTTTCTCATATGCACTTGGCCTTGTATAGGTTTTGCTCTTGTTGCTATTAAAAGTGTTACTTTGTAAAATCAGGCTTTCTGACTTGTTTGTAGAAATAAAGTGTTTTTGATATGCTGTCCTCATATCTGGACACTTTGTAAAACTTTCTAATTGTTCCTAGGATTTGTCTCCACATCTTTTCATGTCTCCATGCAGATAGGTGTTTTATCTTTGAACAGTGACCTTGTATGTTTTTATTTTCGATCTTTATAGCTTTTGTATCTTCTCCATGTCTTGTTGCACTGGAAACCCAGCCCAGGGGGTTTAATTCCGAATTTCAAAGGAAATTCTAACTGCTATTAAAAGTGATATTTACAGGGAGACAAAAGTGTTTTAAGTCCAACTGACTCATGGGTCCTTTCACAGCTGTTAGGAGCCTCTGGTGCTTAGAGGTTGGCGGGACCAGCTCTGGTCAGTATTGAATTTCTTGTTGTGTTCACAGTTTTTGGTTCCACTTTTTATTTCTTTAAACATTTTTGAATATTGACTTAACAGTTGATCTCAGCCCCAAGTTTGGAGTCCTTGAGCCGGGAGCTTCTTGTCTCTGTGGCCTCCCAGTCTTGGTGGCTCGACGCCTAGTGAGATTGGAGCTCACTCCTAAAGTGAGAAGGTCTGCGCTCCCGAGAGCCTGGGCTGTTGGAGTGGCACACAGTCCTTTGACCCTGGTCTCGGCAGCGGCCCCATGTGGGTGCTTGGTGCGGTCCTGCTTGTCTTATTGGGGGCCCCTGGAGGCCCTCCCTTTGGCACAGGATGGGGAGCATCCAGTCTCCCCAAGTAGACCCAGCTTCTCTTTGGTCTGGGGCTGTGATGGGCACATCATGTCATTTCAGTTTGATTCACGTTCTTGCGGGATGACTGCCTGGTGCCCGTGGGCTCCATTGGAAGCCGGGGTCTACATGTGTCACACATTGTGGACAGAACCATGGTCTTCTCTGAAACTTCCTCAAATGGATGGTCTCGGGTTCCTCCCTCCTCTGAAGCACTGTCACCATTTCCATAGACTGGTCATTAAACAGCTTTGTGATGAGGACAGTGTGTGTGCTTCATGCGTCTGTCCTGTGGAGCCTGTCTGCCTGTGCGGGCTGGAGTTGGGGCCTGGCTTTAGCTCCCTATTTTCCCACTGACCCCCCCACTCTGCTCGGGGGGTGAAGTGCTCTGGCATGGGTGCAGAACAGGGCAGCTCGGTGGACGCCCTTCAGCACGGCTCTTGCCAATGCTGTGCCCTGCCTGCATAATTCCCTTTCACCATTGGGCTTTAGGGAAAACAGCGAATACTGCTATGATTTTCTAAAGTAAAATTTATGACTAAAAGTCACAGATGTACCTATTTACTTAATATATTTACTCTGAAGTTCTGCTATTTGTGCTGGCGGGAAATGGGAAGGAATGTGTTCTGTTCACATGTCGACCTACATGTAAAACAAAGCCCACGTGTTCGCTCTTCAGCGGATGACAGCAGAGGCACACCGACGCGTGGTGGTGGAGTACCTGCGGGCTGTGATGCAGAAGCGCATCTCCTTCCGCAGCCCCGAGGAGCGCAAGGAGGGTGCCGAGAGGATGGTCCGGGAGGCCGAGCAGCTGCGCTTCCTGTTCCGCAAGCTGGCGTCTGTGAGTGCCATGCCTCATACCCTCACTGTCACTAATAAGTGTTGTCACTTATTTTCGTTTTTACCCCTGGGACTTTAGGGTAGTAGTTGATCAGGATCAGTCATGTCAAGAACCAAGTGACCATTTGATTCTTGTTTCCTTTGTAAACTGGAGGATCTGCATGCAGATCTGCCTGACCAGTGGATGGGGCACATGTACTCAGGGCAGTAGCTTCTAGGCTCTTCTGGTGGTAGCATGTAGCCGGACTTCAGCTTCGAGACACAATGTTCACAGGTCCCCTCCCTTATGAGGGCTAAGCTGACTTCATGACCCACCCAGACCCCCAACCCCATGTCTGTGCTGAGTGTTCCCATAGGAATAGCCCTCTGTGGGAACCAGTCTTGGTGTTTATGTGAGAGAAGGGAGTGTGCTGGGCAGGCATCCTTGGTCAGAGAGAGGGTTTGACAGACTCCAGCCTGCGTCTGGCTGAGGCATGGTGGTGCTGTGTGCTGCTTATGGCCTCCATACTGACTTCCAGGGATTTGGCGAAGATGCAGACGGGTACTGTGATACGATCATCGCCGTTGCAGAAGTGATTAAGCTGACAGACCCATCCCTGCTCTACCTGGAAGTCTCGACTCTGGTCAGCAAATATCCAGACATCAGGTAACGGCCTCCTGTCTCAGCTAGAACTCAGGGAGCGGAGCCACAGGATCATTCCTAGGGTCCTGGGCTTTAGGCATGGCCCCAAGGGGTGACAGTGTGACAGGTCTGGACTTCTGTGAGGATGAGTTATGCGGACAACAGTTGAAGGCAGAGTGGGATTCTGAGAACGATAACATGCCCTCTTGCCAGCCCTGCCGTGGATAATGTAGCTCCCAACGCTCAGAGTGCATGTAGGGCTGGGTGGAGGCTCAGTGGTTTTAAGAAGCTTGTGTTGTGCTTGTAGTGGGTTCAGAGAAGGGAGCCAGTGTGCCATGCTTGCCAGGACTCCTTCCAGCCTTCCTGTGGACAGTGCTGGCTGCAGGCTCCCACCAGCCTTTGTGAACCCGCCCAGGTCACCTCAGCCAGGTTTCTTTTCCTGCTGCTGTTCTGGTCTTGCCGTGAGCAGAAAACCCAGGGGTCCTGTGCTCTCCAGGGTCATTGTGCTTTAATTAATTCATTAAACAGAGATTTAGAAAAGCAACCTTTAAAAATCTTTGCAATTGTAGATTGAAAAAAAGACTACATTATAATATGCAAACTTGGGCTTCTTTCCCAAGGGAGATGTGCCTTTCACCTGCGGCTATGGACCCTGTTCTGGGATCATCAGTGCCCGCTGAGCTGCAGGCAGGGGCAGGGGGTGGGTGGTGGTGGGGGCACTCAGTGCATTCCCTTATACACTCCTGCCATTTCCCCCACTTTCCCAGGGATGACCACATTGGCGCACTGCTGGCCTTGCGAGGGGATGCCAGCCGGGATATGAAGCAGACCATCATTGAGACATTGGAGCAGGGCCCCACGCAGGTGAATCCAAACTATGTGCCCATCTTTAGGGAAATCATAGTTCCCAGTCTGAACGTGGCCAAGCTCCTCAAGTAGACTTTCACTTTCTGTCTGACCTGTGGTTGGGGCACATCTTCATCCCACAAACTTCATCCCATGCCTGACATCCAGTGTGACTCATGGTGCCGAGAGCAAGGCTGCCTGACCGACAGGCGCTCTGGTGGTGGGTTCTGACCCTCTCATCTGGTTGCGGACCAGCTTTGTGGGCAGGGTCCCGGCTGACTTCTGGTTCACCTCTCGTCTCACTCCCTTCTGTAGTGTCAGCACTTCTAATGTTCAATAAAGTAAACGCTGTGGGAAATGAGCTTCCCAGCTGTTTCTTACTAATGGTGACCACAGGGCCCAGACACAGCACCTGAAGGTGTCCCCATCTACCTGCCACCCTCACCCATCTGGACAGGTCTCACTGGTATCCCTGTGGCCCACTGCTCCACACCCACACAGGCAGCCCTTGGCGTTTCAGATGTATGGGTCTTGCTTATTCCTGACTCAGGGTCCCTGAGACCCTTTCTCTGTTATTCAGCTGTCTCTCCATGGCTGTCTTCAGTGGTAGCTTGTTTTACACATTAATCTTCAGACCGGGTTCATGGAAGGGTTCGTCCAGGATAAATGGTGAGTCCCTGCATATGCCTCCCCAAACTTTAGTCACCCTCCATCCCAGGGAGCGAGATTTCTTAGATGGGTGGTGCCTGGAGAGGAATTTGCCCGTTCCTCTGTCGCAGGCCCCGTGTACCCTAGATTCGGGCTCCCACGGACTGGCCAGTTCAGACTGGAGGGTTGTCCCTCAGGAAGGCGTCTGTGCTGCTCCCTCCCATTAGGACTGCTTGTGTGTCCCAACAGGCTGGTTTCCTCCTAAGATACATTCCAGACGACAAAGTTTCTATTGCGATTTCACCCTCGAGACAGATAGGACTTTTTCTTGAAAGAATCAAAACTGAAGTGGAATTGACATGTTGCTGACATGTTGCTAACTCAGTCATGAGTTAGCTCGGGTCTTTTTCTCAACTCTCGCTCTTGTTTTAGCCCTAGTTTCTCCCTCCGCCCCTTGGTTTCAGGTGCTTCATTCTCCCGCTTAGGCTGGGTGGGCACTGTTCCCATCCTTCCTAGGCCTGTCCTCTGTGCTGTGATGAGTCTAAGGGAGGGAGGGGTGGTGTCACCTGACTCTCCTAGGGAGGAACCAGTTTCCAGGGCCCAGGCTGTGCCCACAGCTGTGTGTCCAGTGACCTGGTACCAGCCAGAAGTGCCCTCACTCCCTCCCTCCTCTCATGTGCACACAGGTAACGTTAACTCCGGCGCCAGAGCAATGTCTGCCTTCAGGACACTGCTCCTTATGTTCTCTTTGATGTGATTTCTCATTGATAATGTTTGCACCAAAAAATGCCTTGAAATCTTTTTAATAGATTTGATCAATCAGTTGTGGCAGGTTCTGCGATGGGCCCCCTGCACAGACGCTGTCAACAGCACATTGGGGGCCACGTTAAGGCACATGGATTGTGATTAGGGTTACATAGCTTGACTGAGATCATTTTCACAAAATTGAATTCACAATTTCACCACTCATAACTTATAATACATTTCAATTCCAATTTCAAAGAAATTCTTGCTTTAAAAATTCTTTTCATAATAGATCAATAGTATGCAGTAGGTGAGCATTGTGACAAAATTATTTTCAAGATACAGAAATGAGAAGTAGCGACTCCTAAATTTGTGTGCTTTATAGCCTACCACAAAGTAGGTCAAAGTTCAGTATTAAATAAATAGGAATTCTTTCCTAATAAAAAATTTTACAACAGTTTTCCTAAGGAAATACATTCATAAGACATTGTTTACATTCTGTTTTACAGTGACAAGAACAGCTAGGATTCTCATTTATGAAATGTATCCACAGTACGAGGGTTTATGACACTGTGTTAACAGATGGAGTTGTCTCTCGATCACTGAAATGTGGGTTTTGGAGTTCTGTGAGGTTTCATGTCTGGAACTTCCGTTCCATTATGGCTGTGCTTATTAGACTGTGCCGTTCAACTAACAGGAAATCTGCCTGCCCCTTCCTCCTCCCCAAAACACGGGGCTGAAGGGTTTGTTCAGGAGACATATGTCAAATGGATTCACCACCTAGCAGTTGAGTGGGTCCCAGGAACTGCCCTTGAACTGCTTTACCTGACTCAGCCTCTGGCCCTGCAGCTAGAGATTGGACCTGAGTCCCGTGGCCCAAGGGAGTTGTTAAGGCAGCTGGAGTGCCCAACTGGCTGGGCTGTGGACCCAGCCTGCTCTGGATGAACCACTCCTGCGGGGAGTGGACAGAGCATTGCCTTCCTGACATTGCTGTTGGCCGTGGCTCAGTGCCTGCTGGTCTAAGATCACTTATGGGCAGGTTTTGTGCTCTTTAGAGTTTATTAAAATGGTTGCAAAATGTGGGAAAACAACTACTGAAAACCAATCGGTACTTCTTTATCTGTGATGGCTGAGCTAATGATTCAGTTCACATAATGAGCAGCCCCACTCCCCTTAGGATAAAGAGCCTTCTCTGTATTGGTGAACAAACACCACACTAAATGTGCCTTTTGCTGTCCCTTGTTTTTCTCAACAGCAAAACGTAGAGATTTTCCCATCAGGGACTCAATGTGTACCACTAAAACATTACAGACTGCTAGTAACCCTGGCCTGTGATGGCTGTGAGCATTTGAGCACTGCATGAAGTCTTTCCTGAGCAGAGGTGAGCCTGGCTTCTTTAGAAAAGCCTGTAGGAGTGTCTTAAAGTCCATTGTCCCTTTAATCCCTCACTACCTTGTCTTCACACAAATCCCTGCCAGTGAGGAGTGGGTGGGCAGATGAGGGCCAACTCAATGGCCCCTTTCCTGGTCACCACTCCCTCTAGGTCAGTCAGTGGCCTCTGGAGGGCCCCTGGCTCGGTGGGAGGCTGTGGGAGGAGTTCTAAGGCCACTGTCCCTGAAACCTCAGGGTGGCAGGTGGTCTACAGCAGCCTCAGGGCAGGGCCAGGGGTCTGAGCCCCCCTCCAAGCCCTCGTAGTATCCATGAAACAACAGCTCTTCCACCAGCTTCCCCCTGTTGTGGTTAGGAGGGGTCAGACCAACCACCTGGCCCAGGTCCACTTAAGGACTGGCTCTAATTCTGAACAAAAGTTGCTTGCTAATGAAGGCCCCACTCGACTTAGCTGGCGCTGTGTGGGTGCACTCATGGGGCCTGGTTTAGTGCAACCTCTAACCCAGCCTGGGCCATCTGCCAGTGTCAAGTGGGGCAACTCAAGCCAGAGAGTAGGGGCGTGGGACACCTGGTACCCAGAGGCTGCCACACTGAAACCCAGGTAGGACAAGTGCTGGGCTCTGGGAATCTCAGCACAAAAAGAGTGAACAGACAGATGTTTCTGTAATTGTACCCAGTCCATAAGGTGGCAGGTGGTTCACAGAACTGGTAAGTGGAAGTGACATCACACAGGGCCTAGGACAACCATGGCCCCACCCCTCGGCCTGTGAATTGTTCCTGAGTCAGGGCTTCTTACCTAGGGCCCTGAGAAAGGCCAGCCGGAGACTGGAATCAAGTTGGTATTATGGGTAAATATCATTTTGCTTGTCTCGGTTTCCCTGGCAGTGTTGAGAGAATGGACACAGAGTGTAAGAACTCAAACACGGAGCCTGGGCTCTGTGGTCCCAGGGCCCTTGCAGTCCCTGAGTCAGGAGTGACAATGGGAATAGTAACAAGTGCCAGCTCAGTTCAAAACCAGGACAGGTGTACAGAAGAATCCACGAGGCAGCCTAGGCAGCCTCCGTACAAGGGCACCTGCCAAGACCTCCCAGAAGCTGGAGGCTCTCGGCCACTGGCCTTGCAGATATTTGGATCCCTGCTGGCGACCCCACTCCGACTCAGGATGTGGAGCAGGGTTGGAGGAGTGCCTAAGGCTGCCCCAGAGCCTGGCAGGGGATACGGTACCATGGTAGTCGCGGAGATCACAGCGGAGTCTCCTCCTGCTCCAGCCCGTGCGGTGGCTCATGGCAGGAGGGCTGCAGCGACGCAAGCTTGAGCAGTGCAGGGCGGCGGCGCGCGCGGGGCCGCTGGAACGAGCGCCGGCTGTGCACGCGGCGCGCGGCCGCTGACCGTGCGTGTGCTCCCTGCAGTCCACGGCGCTCTAGCCAAGTCCCCGACGCTGACCCCGCCTCCGATGTAGGCCCCGCCCCCAACTCGAGGTCCGGCAGTGCAGCTGGCGCTGGGTTCTGCGCGGTGGGCGGGGCCGGGGGCGGAGCGAGCGGGCGCGGGGACTTCTCTGTAGCTTGCAGAACCTCGCGCGGTGACGTGCGTCCTGTCAGCGGCACGTCAGAGCCCGTGTCACCTGCGGGAGAAACCGGCATGAGTAAGGAGCACCTGGGGTACAGGAGGGTCCCCACAGATCCAGCTCGCCCGCGTCCCCCTCCTCCCCCCACACACACCTGCAAAGTTCTGGGACATTTGCAGGCCATACTCTGGCTATATGATCGGTAGGATTCCCCAGTGACATGGTCAGCTGAGGCGCTGACTTTGTAGACCCTCAACAAAGGGTCCTCCCTCTCTGCCCACCACCCGACAGCACCCAGCACTAAGACCCAGGGTGTTCCAGGAGGGAGGAAGCCACGAGGAGGAAGGAGGAGCACAGCAGCACAGCAGGGTCCTGCCTACAAGCTCTGCCAGGACTGGCAGTGGGACTGGGTGAGACTCGTCCCTGTGCACAGTCACTTTTAGACTCAGGAACATCCTGGAGAAAGACCAGCTTGTGTACCAAGAAACCATTTCGCCAGCACTACTGTGTCCCCAGCTGGACGGATAACCACCCCTCTCCAAGCGTCCACATGAGAGGAAAAGAGGTTACTGCTTCCATTGAAATGTGAGTCTGCCCCACCTGTGCTTGGGAAAGTCTAGTTTTCCTTTTTCTCCCAAGTTCCCACCAAACACTCAAGGTAAACGTGAAATAAGTGCAAAACCCTGCTCAAGAGGCCTGAACCCTTTCCCTGCAGAAGGCAAAGTGGGGACAGAGCCTCTGGGACCCAGCAATAGCACCCCCACAGCACCTATGAATGGGGGCCTGGTCCTTCATCCACCACCCTTGCCCACCACTCTCTCCTTGCCTTCTCCCCTCTTCCCTGATCCAGGAGTTTCCTCCCCAGAGCCTGCAGCAAGGATGTGGGCACACCAGCTGCACCCCTTTTATGAGGGTAAAAGGGACTGACTGCTTCTCTCCTGTACTCACATCTGTCAGGTGGGCTTTTCCCTGGGCCTTCAGGGAGGAAAATAGATGCACCCCAGCCCATGCCAGTGTCCTCTGAGCTCGTGACTTATATTCATGGGCTGACTGCACAGATTAAACACTTATCTCAGAGTAGTTAGTGATCAAATTGACAATCTAAGAGTAAATTCTAATCAGTAAGGTGAAACAGTCAAATCCTCAGTCAGCTCTGGATCCCGACCACCCAGCTGGAGAAGCAGAGACTAAGAAATGTTCGGCCAGAACAAGAGGCTTGAGGGCACAGGCTTAGAAAGAGGAAGAGCAGCTGCTAGAGAAAGTTTGCAGAGGTTCAGGTCCAGGGCCAAGAGAGAGGCAGGTGCCTGAGGAAAGAGCAGGAGTTAGGGGCTCGGGAAGGGCGAGGAGCGTTACATGTGCGTGGACTCAGGCAGAGTGGTGGGAGGCTGCTCCTTGGGGCCCTCAGCCAGCAGGACGGAGTCCACGGACTTGTTGCTGAGGCGCAAGGGACCCAGGCGGTGGAAGTTGTCAGGAGAGTGGGGGATCTGCATACGGGCCCTCTGGGAGGGCACCACTGTCTCCCCGGGAGACAGCCAGGGTGGCACCCTGGACAGGATGCTCAGGTCCTCATCCGGGGAGAACACAGGGTTGTCAATTCCTAGGAGAAAGGGCAGTGGCTGATCAGCTTTCCAGGTGTACCCAGCATTGCAGGATTAGGGTGCTGCTCAGGGGTCAGACACCAGTGCGTCCCACAGCCATCATCTGGAAGGTCAGGGTCACGCGCCTTAGGGGTTTCAGGCCCTCTACCTCATGCTCTCCCTCCCCACATGGGCAGGATAGGTCACAGCTCTTCCCTCAGAACAGAGACCCCCAACCTGCCATGTGCAATTACACAGCCAGTCCTACCGTCCCACCGTCCCTTCACTTCTGAGGCAGCAGAGGCCCACCTATCCCTCACCTGACGGGGAGTCTGTTGCTGTATCCCTGGTGACATTCGCCAGAAACTCAATCCCCCCACTCATCTCCTCAGCATCGTAGTTGGGGTTCTCTTCCGGGTCTGAAAGTTCCAAATCTGGTGGCAAAGAAAGGGCAGCACAAGGGACATGGGCTGGGAACACGAAAGGCCCCGGTCCAATGCACCTAGAGTCCCCTGACACTGCCACTCTGACAAGCAGGGCAGCAGCCCACAGAGGAGGGTCCTGGGTGCTGGGCGGAGGATCTCCCTCCAAGGACAGCCCTCTGCATCCTGCCAGGCCCCTTACACACGTCCCTGAGTCCCTGCTGACAAGCATTTCTGCCAAGGCCCCCACCGGTACCTTTTTCCTTAATGGTGAAATTGTGTATGGGGCTCTCCATTGGCAGTTTCCCATTAGGAATACTGCTGTTTCTCTGCAAAACAGAATGAAACCGCTTACAGGTAAGGGAACAGTGGCCACTGGGACCCTGACTGCAGATTGTCCCCAGCCCGGATCCCCTCCCTGCCCAGACGTGACCCTAAAGGGGGTGCCTTGGTGGTTCCAGTATTGATCAGCATGGTCCCAGGGTGACCTCGACCCCACATGCCTCCCTTGCACAGCAACCCCCCTTGCCCCCGCCGTCCCTGCCACCCCCCACCCGCGGTCCCCCTTGCCCGTGGCCCCTCGCTCAGCACCCTTACCCGCTTCTGGGCACGCTCTCGCTTGTACAGTTTGACCGCCTTCTTGTTCTGGTTGATGCCCAGCTTAGTCGACTTGAAGGACTCCAAGCGCTTCCTCATGGTTCTGTGGAAGATCTCCTTGTCTTGCTTCTCATCTTCATCCTGAGTTAACTCATGTCGACTGTAGAGATGTTTGTACTGGGGAAGGGGGAGGTGACAAGAGCAGGTGGTGACCAGCAGAGCTGGAGGCACCCAGCCTCACCGCCCAGGGCAGCCCCTTGGCAGGCTCCCTGTGAAGTTGGCCCGACAGACCCCTAAGACTCCAAAGCCCAGGGACCACCTGGCTGGTCAGCCAAGCAGTGTCTGTCCTAAAGACAAGGATGCCTCCCTTTGCTCAGAGAGAGGAGAGGACCTGTGCCCCCACCCAAGGCTCTCTCCCTGGTCGGGATCCCAAGGGGCTCCGGACAGGAGCTCCCACTCGCTGGCACGCCCACCTCTTGCCGGGGCTTGTACAGGTACTGCTGCAACGTGTGGTGAGTGACCATGTCCTCTGTGTCCCGGATGCTCCTCCTCCTCTGCTCCAGGGACTGCATGTCCAGGCACACCGCACTGACATTCTCCCTCCTACGTGGGAGTACAGGGAGTGTGAGAACTCCACTGCTCTCCACGTCTGCCCCTCCTGCCCCGTGCCCTCTGGCCTGGGCACCAGCCACTGCCAACAGGGCTGATCCTGGGAGTCCTCTCCTAGGGGGTTTTGGGCAGACTGACCCCACAAGATGCCCATTGGTTGATGTCTGTCCAGAGGAGCCTCTGGTGTGGCTGTGATCAGGAAGACCTGGGAATTACTGAGCAGGGAATACTCCCACCCTGTCTCCTGCCCACAGCAGCCTCCAGGGCGTGGTGAGAGGTGCCCTGGTGAGGGGTGGCCTCTCCCAGGAGGAAGCCTGGGCAGACTGGGGCACGTACAGCAGGTAGGAGACGGAGGCCTCCACAGTGGAGGGGCGAGGCGTGCTGAAGTCCACGTTGACCATGTTGTCCGTGCTGGGGGAGCGAATGAAGGCCAGGGACCCACGGCGCTCTCCCTGCGAGAGGACATGCCTGCATAAGCCAGGATAGGGAGCACCCAGACCAGCCCAGGCTCTGGGACAGAGCGGACAGAGCCTGGGGAGCCTGCAGCACCCGGATCATGTCACCTCTCGACCTGGAAAGCGGCGATTTCAGAGGCCACAGCCAAGGCCTTGCTTGAGCTGAGCTAAGGTTAGTTAGCCATTGTGTTAAGAGGAAAGTGAAGACACAACTGTGTGTGAAGGACACGGCACCTCAGTGGCACCTGGGGAGTGCTGGGAAAGTGTGACAGATCCCCACAGGATTAGGAAGGCGACCCCTGTCCCTACTGGGGGGTCCAAACCAGCTGTTCTCATTTAAAGGAATTTTCAGGATTGAACCTTCAGACGGACCACACAGAGCAGAGCCTGACAGGAACCAAAGTCACAGTCTGGCTCTTGGGGGTGGGGGCGCCCCTTGGGAGAGGGGCTTGGAGCTGGGAAGGGCGGCTAGATGGGGCCAAGCTGCTGAGGGCAGACAGCAAGGTGCACAGGCCACCCTCTGTTACCGTCTGAGCAGGCCTGACCAGGGGTTGGGGAATGGAAAAATTATCCTCAGGTGGGGATTCACAGCAAAAAGAATAGCACCCCCAACCACCTCCCCACCCACCCCGTGTTCTTGGGTGCAGGAAGACCCCAGTGGCTGTCCACACCCCAGGCCCGGGTCCTGCCTCAGCCCCCACCTCCAACACAGAGCAGATATGGAGTGTCTGGTACCTCGGCCACGTAGCTGATGGCATCCTTCAAGTTGAGCTCATGGAAAACATTAAGAATTCGATCTCGTGACTTTTGGGCTGACCTTCTCATAAGGATTTTGCTGAGGAATTTTCTATCAAAATTGGACCACCTGGGGGATGGAACCAGACAGC